CTGTTCCCTGGGTTTCTTGATTCACTTCACTCAACAGACTGAAAAGGGCTCTAGCCTTTGTTCACCACCACTGCACTACAATGTTGGCATTATTCAATCTGTTTTACCTATGGGGCTTAGTAACTAACTACAAGATTTATTAGGTGTGTACTATGTGTCAAAACCATAAAAAAATGACAAATGTCTGTGCTGAGCACAGTGGCACACACCTGTAATCTCAGTGACTCCAGAGGCTGAGGCAGGAGAACTGCAAGTTCAAGGCCAGCCTCAGTATGAGCAAGGCCTTAAGCAACTTAGTGAGATGCTGTTTTAAAAATAAAAAATAAAAAGGGTTCTTAGTAATAAAGCAGCCCTGGATTCAATCCCAGTCTCCCCCCCCCCCAAAAAAAAAAGGATAAATATTTGAGAAAATAGATAGGTTTACCCTGATTTGGACATTACACAATGTGTACATGTATTAAAAGATGTATAGTACCTCATACCTATTTATAATTTTATGTATCAGTTAAATATTAATAATAATAAAAACAGATAAAAACAAAGAAGCAATTTCTCCAACCATCACAGAGCTATAAGACCAGAGACTTCTTTCATTTTCCTAGGCTTATGTTTGTTTGTTTATTTATTTAATCTATTTATGTACCAGGAATTGAACCAGGGGCACTTAACTATTGAGCCACATTCCCAGATTTTTTTTTTTTTGAGACAGGGTTTCACTAGGTTGCTTGCAGCTTCACTATGTTGCTGAGGCTAGCTTTGAACCTGCAATCCTCCTGAGCCCCTGGGATTACAGGCATGCACCACCATGCCTGGCTTCTTGTGCTTGTAAAAACTATTGAGATTCTGTGCAGCCTGAGAGGGTGATTTGGAAAGCTCCAAAATCAAGTGCTATGTATTTTATATACCTGGAAGTGAAATATTGAACTAGACTTAATTTTTTATGTGCTTGTTTTTAAAATTTGTTATTTGTTTTAATTAGTCATACATAACAGTAGAATGCATTTATGCACATTGATATATCATACATAGATGGAATTAATTCCTCATTTTTCTAAGTGCACATATTGTAGAAATATTGGTCATGCAGTCACATATATACATAAAGTAATAATGTCTGTTTTGTTCTACTGTCCTTCCTATCCCCACATCTCCTCTCCTCCCCTCCTTTCACTTCCCTCTACCTAATCTAAGGTAATGTTATTCTTCTCTAGTGCCCATTCTCCCTATTGTGAATTAGCATCCACATATTAGAGAAAATATTTGACCTTTGGGTTTTTTTTTATTTCAAAATGTTTGCATAATATTTTGTGTATTATATACAAATAAGATATGTATGCAACAATAATATATAGAATATTACTGGCCCCTTAGTATTTCTTTTTTATTGATTTTTTAAAAAATAAATGACAGCAGAATGCATTGCAATTCTTATTACACTTATACAGCACAATTTTTCATATCTCTGTATATAAAATATATTGACACCAATTTGTGTCTTCATACATGTACTTTGGATAATGATGTCTATCACATTCCACTATCCTTGCTAGTCCCCTGCCCCCTCCCTTTCCTCACACTCTTCTTCCCTATCTATAATTCATCTATTCCTCCCATGCTTCCCCCTCCCTACCCCACTATGAGTCAGCCTCCTTATATCAGAGAAAACATTTGGCATTTGTTTTTTTGGGGATTGGCTAACTTTACTTAGCATCATCTTCTTCAACGCCATTCATTTACCTGCAAATAATTCTATTCTCTTTTATTGCTGAATAAAATTCCATTGTGTATATATGCCACTTTTTTAAAATCCATTTATCCACTGATGGGCATCTAGGTTGGCTCCACAGTTTAGCTATTTTGAATTGTGCTACTATAAACATTGATGTGGCTGTGTCCCTGTAATATGCTGTTTTTAAGTCCTTTGTGTATAGACCTAGGAGAGGGATAGCTGGGTCAAATGCTGGTTCCATTCCAATATTTCCAAGCAATTTCCATACTGCTTTCCATATTGGCTGCACCAATTTGCAGTCCCACCAACAATGTATAAGTGTATCTTTTTCCCCACATCCTCTCCACCACTTACTGTTGTCTTCATAATAGCTGCCATTCTGACTGGAGTGAGATGATATCTTAGAGTGGTTTTGACTTGCATTTCTCTAATTGCTAGAGATGATGAGCATTTTTGTATATATATATTTGTTGATTGATTGTATATCCTCTTCTGAGAAGTGTCTGTTCAGGTCTTTGGCCCATTTGTTGATTGTGTTATTTGTTTTTTGGTGCTTAGCTTTTTGAGTTCTTTATATACCCTAGAGATTAGTGCTCTATCTAATGTGGGAGGGGTAAAAATTTGCTCCCAGGATGTGGGCTCCCTGTTCACCTCACAGATTGTTTCTTTTACTGAGAAGAAACTTGTTAGCTTGATTCCATCCCATTTATTGATTCTTGGTTTTAATTATTGTGCTATAAGAGTTTTATTAAGGAAGTTGGGGCCTAATCCCACATGATGAAAATTAGGGCCTACTTTTCCTTCTATTAGATTCAGAGTCTCAGGTTTAATTAGTATTTCAAATCAAATCAATTCTTTAGGACACTAAACTTTCAGCGGTTTCCCACTTCCCCCATAAACTGCAAATGGGTGAACTATGGGCCTGCCAATGCTTTAGGGGAAGGTGAAGAGTCACACACAGTTCCACAATCAGAAAACTTCCCCTTAAAATATCCATGATTTTCTGGTTCCTCTGGGGAAAGTCAGAAGTCCTGGCATCTTTGACATCACAGCTGGAACTAAACAACAACTGTCCACCAATTTCCATCAACAGCAGTTTCATAAAATGTCAATTTCACATTATTTTTAAACTTCCATATTGATTTCTTCTTTGATTCATAAGAAGTTAGGAGTATATTTTCCAATTTCTGAGCCCATGGTGTGTGTGTCTTAAAGTTACCTTTTCATTATAGATTTCTAACTTAATTGCGGTGTTTATGTAATGTGCTTCATATGACATTCATTCTTAATTTTTTGTTGAGACATGCTTTATGTCTAAATCAAGGTCAGTTTTCATAAATCCTCTGAATGTTCCCCAGCATTTGGGAGAAGTGTTCCATACAAATCCACAGAGCTGGTTAACTATATATTTACTGACTGTTTATCTGTTCTGTCTATAAATATCTAAAGAAGTTATCTGAAAAACTCCCTTTGTGATGGTTGATTTATTTCTTAATTTAGCCAAATTAACTAGGCACTGTGTAATGATCTCTGAAATGTCTTTTGCCTTAAAATAGATATTATCTAATATTATTCTGGCTATAGTGATTTTCTTGAATTTGTATTTCCCTGGGATAATTGTATATATCCACCCACTTTCAGCCCACTGTTTCTCTTTGTTTGAACTTATAAATTATCCATATCTGAATTTATGGCATCTAGGTATGTATATGTACACTCTGAATTGTCCACACAATGACAAAATTGCTTACTGATTGCATTCATTTCTCAGATGCATGACTATTTATTTACATGATCATCCTTTTTTACACACCCAGATTTAAGTACTCAAGCTACTCTCTACTGTTCAACAAGTAATTCCAAAGCATGTGATAAATAATTGTCTGAAATAAATCTGTTCTCTATTATTCGAATAAAATTCTGAAAGACTTTAAGCAACAATGTAATTTCTCCTTCTTGACTTACCCCTTTTATTCCTTTTCTCATATATAGAAATATTTTCTTGTGATTAATAGAAACTTTATTTATATATAGTATGTTAATTCAAAGTATCCCCCTGGTTTCATGAGTCAACTAACCTCCCTTTTACCTGATAACTCTGTTTAACAGAGCTCTGAATCAACATTAGCTGTTTGAAATGAGTACAGTGCAGGAAACATTGACCTGAAGAACATTTTATCTATATTTAAACTTGCTATAGAAAACATTACCCAATGGTGTCAAACTTATACCTAAGTGACCCTCATGTTAGAGTGATCACATACATAATTTAAAGTTGTTTAATCTTTGGGGAAAAAACATGCAAATATTGATTTATACTCCAATTAAATCCATGATTATTTTTAAATTATTGTTTTACATAAATTGCCAGTTAAACTGCACCACCATATCACACTAAAGCGTGCTTCAGCAAGATGTACATTGGCATTATGGATTTGCCTACTTTCAGAATATCAATGTGTACCCCAATTCTGGAAGCACCACATTATAATATTAAAATGGAGAGTCTTATAAAATCTTACAGAAAACAGACAGTTATGTAAAGAGAACCCAACACTTTCATCAACTCAGATCTTCCACTCCCTAACCTCAGAAAGATTCTAATTCAGTAGCAGCAAGCTTAATTGCTTAGGAGGGCTTGCTTGGAATGCCAATGACTACAAGGGCAAGGTAGAGACCCTAGCAAAGTGGAAAGGATTGGTCCTGTCCAGAGGGGACAAGCCAGTTGTTTCCATGTGAGAGAGCTGCAGATCTCCCAAACCAAAAATCTATATTTTTATGTAAAGTTTCCAATTTTACAAGTTTGTCATAATCAAGTGGATGGGGAAGTTTTGCATGATTAATAAAAATATAAAATAAAACATGGGAGATTGTTATCATCATCTCAGAATGGAGAAAAATATCTCTAAAAATGATGAAAAACTCAGAATACCCAGGAAAAAAACAGAATTTGTCTATATAAAACTTTTATAATTCCTCATAACAAAAACACGATAAACAAGGAAAACTCACATGCAAGAGCTAGAAAAGTATTTGCATATGCAAATAAAATGCTCATTTTCTTAATATAAAAGTCATCTTAGAAAAAAATTTTACATGTGTATTATATATTCCAACACAAAATTATGGACAAAATATGAAGAGATGGTTTCACAAATGTTTCATATACACATGAGAAGACAAACAACATTACTCATAATAAGAGAAATGCTAATTGTATTATAATGGCATCCCATATTTCACTGACTAATTTAGAAAAGATCAAAGAGCTTTAAATCACACTGTTGGCAAAGAGAGAAAACAGACCTCTCCTACATTGGCAAGAGATGATAAATTGGTAAACATATAAAGGAGAGCATTTGGCAGAAATTGTCAAATTCACAAATAATGCATACCTTTTGACCCAAAGTCATTTTGCATTCAAATATACAAAATGAGCCAATTATACAATTATAAGGATATTGATTGAAATTCTCTCTGTGCACAATCTAAAATACAAAGCTCCTGAATTGATTCAATTTAAGCTGATACTAAGAGAAAGTAGAAACAAGAAGTCTGGGGAAAAGATTAGCCACACCAGCCCAGAGCCAAACTGCAAAGAAGAGTGTAGCAAGGGTGAGTCACACCTCTCCCACCAGAGTGTAGAAGACAGGATGAGATTTATTTTTTAGGTGAACAGGACGGAAATCAACCCCTATGCAGCTCCTGAATTCACACACTTCAGTAACTAACACTTATTGCATTTCTTCTCTGTCCAGGCTGTAGTATCACCCATACATACTCTTTTTAAATATAAAACACTTCAAGATATGTAGCTTCAGGTTTATTTTTAGTAATATCCAGGAAGTTCAAGCAACTTGCCCAACTTTCCACACATGTAGATGGGAGCACTAGTGTTCACCTGCAGTTCTTTCCATCACACCCCAGGCTTCTTGAAGAAGAAAAGATCACTTATGTCCTATTTCTGTTTTTCTAATATGCTATATAAAAATTTCTCATATTCAAATAAGAGGCTTTAAAACAACCACCAAATTTTCTTTTTCAGACAAGAATACAAATATGCTCAGGTTTGAATATGATAGGGAGGAAGTCAGAGTCCACCCATCAAATTTTTCATTATTATTAAAGTAGCTGATCCATTTTATGAGTTATTTTTTTTTTTTTCTAATTTGCTATATATGGCAGCACAATGCATTACAATTCATATTACACAAATAGAGCACATTTTTTCATATCTCTGTTTGGATACAAAGTATATTCACACCATTCATGTCTTCATACATGTACTTCATTCCAGTGGGGGGAATGAGATTTCTCATTATTTAAAGAAGATATGCTACTTGTTGACTCTGTACTCTTTGGGGCAATCATTTGGCTCCATGGAACTCAGTTTTTTTTTTATCTGCAAAATAGTGGAGATAATAGTTACTACTTTTTGTGGAAAAAGCTTAAATTTATGGGAAGTGTTTAAAATTTGTCTTACTGTGGCACAATGCATTTTTCAAAGACTGTAAAAAAAGTCTCCTACCGTATGAGCTCTTCTTCACTGTCACCTTGGCACTCTTCCACCAAGAGGTGGAGTCTATTTCTTCATTCTCTCGAATCTGGGCTTGCTCTGGTCAGCTTTGACCAAGAGAATATGGAGGAAGTGATATTGTTCTGGACCTTATGTAGTGTGGCTGCATCTTTTGCTTCTACCCCCAGAAGCTAGCTACCACTTGAAAAAGTACAATTTCCCTGTGACAGTCATGCTATGAGAACCCCTGGGGCTTGTGGAGAGACACAGGAGGATGAAATGCCACATGGAGAGAGAGAAGCCAAAAAGTGCAGAGGAGTCAGATACGTGAGTGAAGAAGCCATCTTGGAAGTGGAATCCATCCCACTGCCCAGCCAACACCACAAGGAGCAGAGATAATCCAGCCAGCCAACCCCTTTCCCAAAGTCCTGTCTTATAAACCATGATCAAAACAAAATGGTTGTTTTAACCCACTCGGTTTTGGTGTCATTTGTTATAAAACAATTTAGTATAAAGGTTTGAAAAATCATGCTTATCATAATTTATACTAGGAACATGCAAGCCCCCTCAAAAAACATAATAATAAATAGCTATAATAATTTCACTGATAAAAAAATTTTAAAAATTTAAAATGGTATTTTAACCAGTGGCACAAAACAGAGGTCTTCAGTAATTCCCCAAAGATAAAAGAATGTGAACATAGATATAAAGTTTAGTGTAATTTACTACATAATATTACATTGTTGGGAGATACTAGACTTGGGCAGAGCCGGTTTAATTTCTAGAGCACAAAGATAAAACAAATGTTCTCATAGTTCACTGTTTTTTGGAGTCAATATTTTTGAGAGTGAACATAGGAAAAAGCCTGGAGATACATTTCTGTGAGCATACATAAATTTTTATGACTTACTTATTCTTATTTAAAATGATTCATAGGGTGAGAGCTGACTGTGAAACTCTTAGACATGTGAAATCTTTGTGTTGTAAAATGCATAGGAAGACAACCAGTTGGTATCCACTTTTTCCCCACTCACAATTTGACTGGTAAAATACACTCAGGCTACAGTAGTCAAACAAACTGCTTTATATCAACAAACAAAGCAGAATAGCATCTCTCAGTAATATCATACTCAGAGAGAGCCACAGGACAGGATTATAATCTTTGTGACCTTACACCTGTCCCTGTAGCTGTCAGAGCCAGCTGCCTTCAAAAAATTTTAAGTTAACACGCCCTCCTCCTACACTGCAATTGTCTTGTAATGAGGGACAATGTCTTCACTCCCATTAACAAAAAGTCCTCCATATACCTTTCCCTCCCCCATAGTTGTGCCTAAACTAGATTCAGTGTTATTTAAAATTAAAAGTTAACTGAATTAAACTTAAAAAGATGGAGAATATCCAGTCTTACCCTAAAGGAGATTTTAATCTAACACATAAATTGGTCAAAAAACAGTTACCGACCTGGTGTACAAACAGCCTTGTCCTGGACCTAAACAATTTGTTTAAAAAGTAGTGAACTATGTCTGATCTAAACTTTATTCTTCAGTGCAATTTCTTCTGTGACTTCTGCTAGAAACATGAAGGGGCTCTGGTTACCAGTCCTGGAAATTGAGAACACAGCTTTTGATGAGAATACATTGTTGTGCAAAGAAATTGATGCAAAGAACAATAATTCAGGAATAGTTCCCAGTCATTGATTGCTCACTATATGCCATTCATGGTATATAGGTGACTTTCCACATATTCTTTTATTTAATCTTTACAACAACAGGATGAAGTGGGTATTATTATATGGATTTGTAGTTTAGGAAGCTGAGGGTATATGGAAAATAAGCCCTCACTCTCCATCACCAAAGCCAAAAATAATTAAAGGATGGGGTGAAGTTTATATCTCTAATTTTATTCCAACTCACCTACATAATGTGATGGTGAAGGAATTTCAGTGCAGGACCTTCCCTCTTGCCCACATCAGTGGCCCCTAAGATTTGCTTTACAGATGCCAGAGTCTCACGCCAAGCTATAGGGACGATTGGGATGGAGCTGAGTTACCTGAAAGCAGCATCAAAGAGAGAGTTCATGAGTTCTGTGATCCCAAATCCCCACAAGTTCCCTGACTCCTTCTTCAGGCCCAAGGATCAGCTCTTTATTTCTTCCCCCAACTTTGGTAGCCACCCAGTATCACTCTAACAAATGGTTCATGTACAACCAAACTGCAGCTGATTACTTAGTACCAAAGAGCATGATGAAAGAAATCAGATGGTCACACTGAGATATAACAAGTGTAATATTCTCAGATCCGAGATCTGAGTTTGGAATAAGCCCATATGCACATTGACAAATCAGTGCCCCTGGTCATAGAGACAGTACTCTTGCTGCAAGTGGACCCTTAGGGACCAAGCTAGTTGGCTAATGAGTGTGCAAGATAAAGTAAAGCTACATAATTCATGCTCAAAATTCAGATTTCCCACCTCCAGGCAGGGAAAATCATACATGGCTTTTCTGTGATGCTGAAAGTGTTACTTAACATCTTATAATTGAGCTAATGGAAAACTAAACCTAAAAGATTGACACTGCTGTTTGCTCAATCTAAGTATTAGTTAAATTCACAATCTTACAAAGTCTTCTCTTTGAAATGTGAGCATTCTTTGATGCTATAATTTGATCTTAAGTGTCCTAAAGACCCATGTGTTTAGTGGTTCCCAGCTTGGTATTCTTAGGAGGTGGTGGACAATATAAGAGGTGGGGCCTAATGGGAGGTCTTTAGGTGATTGGGAGCATCCTCTTCAAGAGGACTGTGGGACCCCAGTCTCTCTCTCTCTTTTTTACCTTCTGGGCATGAGGTGAGTAGTTTTGCTTTTCCACACATTTCCATCATTATGTGTTGTCTCACCTCCAGCCAAAAAGCAATAGGCTCAATCAATGTGGACTGAAAACTCCAAAGCTGTGAGACAAAAATAAACCTTTTCTCCTTATAAGATGATTATGTCAGGTATTCATTATAGTGATGAAAACCTGACTAACACAATCTGGAAAGAGTGGAATACCCACAATTTCAATAATTTGAACCATGACATCAGAGGGATTGGAGTACAGGCAGAAGTTGCCATATAATTTTCACAAGAAAACAATAAAGTAGACAAAGTTTACATATATTTTACAAATAAGAATATACTTTATACACAAGAAAAACTTACAGGTTTCGTATTATAGGAGGCAGAACCAGAATTCAAACCAGAAAGTCTGACCCAAAGTCCATGTTTTTATAATTAGGACTGAGAAAACTAATGGACTTTTCAGGCCTTCTGGAAATCTCTGCCAGAAGGACTCAACTCTGCCATTAGAACACAAAAGCAACTCTAAGTAACATATTTGCAAAAGAGGACGGCTGTGATACAATAATACATATGGACACTGAAATTCGAATTCTACAATATGTCCTACATCACTAAATGATATTCTCTTGATTTTCAAAAAGAAATTTAAAATGTAAAAATCATTTTTAGCTCAGGAGCCATGTAAAGCAGACATGGATATAGTTTTCTAGCTCCTGCTGTCATGGTGCATCAGCAGAATTGAGACCTATCTTTGAAAATGGGTGTGTGATTCCTGGAAAACATACACGAGAGGCCTTTTATAGGTAAGGACAGCATGTGATTATTCTCTGGCTATGAGCAGTACAACATCATGCTGCCAAAGACAACAGAGCCCGTCTCTCAATTGTCCTCCTAGGCCCCATGTATAGCTATACAGAATTATCCATATTTTTAAAAAGGATCACAGAAGGAGGAACTTGAATGTTTGGGGAAAACACCCAGACTGATGTGAGACCAGCTGGAACGGAGCTTTCAGCCAAAGAACCAAAATACAAAGAGCCAGGCGTGTTTACTCTGTAACCTATAAATGATTTATGAGAACTTTAATATGGCTGCTGAGTATACCTGTAGGCTTGTTAGACGTTTTATTTTTTGACCAGGGAAAAATTGTATAAATTGAAGACCCCAATGTGTTAGCTTAGATTCCAGAGTCAATGGCATGTTTTAAGAGTTCTGGAAGAAGTCTCCCTCTGACCCAGTCTCCTCTTCTCCCATTTTGACCAATGTGTGTTTCTCCACAGTCATTAAAACTCAGACATTAATGATACAAAGAAGACACCATGTCTACTAAGAATTCCACATCTGATTTCAAGAAAGGCAGAAAAAATAGGAATGGAGTGGAGAAGACTGTCAAAAGCAACTTGGTCACTGAGAGAAGATACACTCAAACAAATGCAGGCAGAAAGAACCATTTTAATACAAGTCTTCAAAACTGTTGAACTTTTTAGAAAGCTACACAAAACTACCATGTTTAGATTTAATACAGGTAAAAGGATGAAAATATTTGCATTCTCCATCCCCAGTAAACTGTGCCTTGCAATTTAAGAAAAGGAGACATGAAATTGGGTCTAAAAAGGCAAATATGTCCTCTCTTTTGGTTTGCAAGATAGTCTGTGCTTATGAAATAATCTTGAAGATATGTCCTTTTTGTTTTTTTTGTTTGCTAATTTAAATGAGGAATAGCAGAAAAGAGTAAAATGTATGGTTTGAGGATAAAATCAGTGGCTAAGAATTGTATGGTTGACAGCAATTATCAGGAGCAATTCATTTCAAAAGATTTGACCACTAAATTTGTACCAGACATTCAGATTGATGGTGCAAAGATAGTAAAGTTTTCAAAAACGTCTTTATTTGCAGAAATATAACCTAATTATGTAAAATAAAATGTGTACTTAAAAATGTTTTAACTCTAGTTCCCGCAACTCTAGTCCACCATACCTTGGGAAAGTTAGACCAACACAGGCCTTGTTGGAAGGGAGGGGCACCAGTCCTTCACAGGGGGTGTTTCATGACAAGATGGAGATCAAGGACTTCCAATATGATGAGGACTTTGAAATGTATTTGTACTCCTATTGGTGTGGGGATAACTTTTCTATCACCAAGGATCAATTTATGTGTGTAGAAATTGATGTGTCCCAAGCCCCTTCAACTAAGAGTTAGTTAAATGCTGAAGAAACCTTCAGGAATTCACATCCTGAACAGTTGAGAATAAGCCCAGATGGAAATATCAAATGCAGAGTAACTGACTTTTTTCACAGGGTCAGCTATTTCCTAGTTTCCTAGTTAGCGTGTGGATCTTTCCCCCAACTGTAGTGGTCATCGTCAGAGAAGAGGGCCCCAGACATGTCATACCTAGATTTCACATTCAGAAGGTTAAATTGGAAGCATTCTTAATTATGCATCTGAATTTAAAGGAAGATAATTTTAAATCAGTGCTTTCTTTCATTTAGTTATTATTTTTATATCTTAAACCTAAAATTCGCTATCTGATAACAGCATCATCTAACTCAGCATTAGGATTTATTAATTAAAAAGTGATTATGTTTTTAAGTAGTTACCAAGATGGTTAAAATTAACCCTTTCTTTGAAGTTAGACATCAGTTTTATTATTCTAACTTAAAGAATAATCGGTACTGCACTTTCAGTTCCCTCACCAACCAGTCTCCCCAATCTAGAGTTCATGTTCTATTCAGCTTGTCATCCCTCACCTGTACAGGTATAGGAGATGGGGTCAGAGGTTTTCAGCTGTCAGTTCTCATTTCAGGTGTGGGAGCTTGCTGGAACAGAATGGGCAATTGAAACCTTTATAAACTCAAAACTGTCTGAATCATGAATTACAGGGGTGGAAACTCTGGTTTTCATCAATGACTTGATGTTACAACACTTCTGAGTTTGAAAATTAAGTCAGCTGTTTAAAGGGTTCTGCATATACTTTATACATTCAGAATTAGTTTTCTTGGATAGCACCAAACATTTTTATAACTGTACATTTAAGTTTATTATCAGGATAAATTGTATTAGCATGCTAAGTAAAATCTGAAAATTAAAAAAAAAAATGTTTTAACTCAAGACTAGCAAAGAAATACTCTTTCAGCACTGTAAGAAAAGAATATATGCAGTAAGTCATCTAGTCCGTGAGTCTTCTTTGGAAGGCCTGATGTTGTTGTTTGTTGCCTTTAAGAGATTTACAATTTGAGAGTTTCTTTAAACTTCCCTCCTCCAGCTCCAGAATCTGAAGATTCATATGCTTACCTGTGGTGAGCCGCTTCTGCCGTTTCTGCAGATTATGGTCGCCATTACAAGATGGCGCTGGCTCCGCTGTGGTCTGTGACAAACAACTTCTTATCTGGGAGAATTGGCACATGATTTTTCACCACCCTGTTCACCACCCTGTGAGAAAGTTCCACGCGGCAGCTTTGCATTGGGGCTTGGGATGCTTTATTAAGGCTGGGAGGGGCATCAGAGAGAGTGAAGAAGAAATATCAAGGGCCTGAATAAACTGTTGAAAGAAGATTCTCGAGTTGCCTCTTCCTTGCGGGCAAGGGGTCGCGACAAGTGGTGCCGAAACCCGGGAACCAGAACTTTCAGCAGTCAGGGGTGGTGCACCGGTTAGTCCCAGGTAAGTGGGATCCGCGACCAAAGCGGGGTTAGTCCCAATAAGTTGGATCTGCGATCAAAGCGGGGCAGCTCCTCTGTAATGAAAGAGAGAGCCTTACATTTTATTGCAGCTGCACTGTGTACTTTCGCTTCTACTTTCGCTTTCTTTTTTTTGTGCTTCCTTTGTTGTTGTGTCATGGGTGCCGCATCTTCAAGTCCGCTTCTCCTGGCCCTAGATGGCCTGTTACGTTCCAAGGGACTGGAAGTGAAACATAGTACTTTACAGAGATTTTTACAGAAGATAGATATCGCTGCACCGTGGTTTGCATTTTCGGGCAGCCTTACTGTGCCTAGTTGGGATAAATTAGGCAAAGATCTTGACTTTGCTTCTGAGCAGGGCATATTAGAGGGTGGGGTGATACCCCTTTGGAAAATGGTCCGTGGTTGCCTTACAGATGGTAAATGCCAGGAAGCTGTGAGTGAGGGTCAAGCTATTCTTGAGCAATTGCATGAGGAAAAATCTGAAGGATCATGTAGTGAAGTGGCAGAGAGTATTAAAAGTAACAGTAGTGAGAAGGC